ACGAGGGGAAGCATCAGTGGCACGAGGGGAAGCATCAGTGACACGAGGGGAAGCATCAGTGACACGAGGGGAAGCATCAGTGGCACGAGGGGAAGCATCAGTGACACGAGGGGAAGCATCAGTGACACGAGGGGAAGCATCAGTGGCACGAGGGGAAGCATCAGTGACACGAGGGGAAGCATCAGTGACACGAGGGGGAAGCATCAGTGACACGAGGGGAAGCATCAGTGGCACGAGGGGAAGCATCATGGCACGAGGGGAAGCATCAGTGGCACGAGGGGAAGCATCAGTGACACGAGGGGAAGCATCAGTGACACGAGGGGAAGCATCAGTGACACGAGGGGAAGCATCAGTGACACGAGGGGAAGCATCAGTGACACGAGGGGAAGCATCAGTGACACGAGGGGAAGCATCAGTGACACGAGGGGAAGCATCAGTGACACGAGGGGAAGCATCAGTGACACGAGGGGAAGCATCAGTGGCACGAGGGGAAGCATCAGTGACACGAGGGGAAGCATCAGTGACACGAGGGGAAGCATCAGTGGCACGAGGGGAAGCATCAGTGACACGAGGGAAGCATCAGTGGCACGAGGGGAAGCATCAGTGACACGAGGGGAAGCATCAGTGGCACGAGGGGAAGCATCAGTGACACGAGGGGAAGCATCAGTGGCACGAGGGGAAGCATCAGTGACACGAGGGGAAGCATCAGTGGCCACGAGGGGAAGCATCAGTGACACGAGGGGAAGCATCAGTGACACGAGGGAAGCATCAGTGGCACGAGGGGAAGCATCAGTGGCACGAGGGGAAGCATCAGTGGCACGAGGGGAAGCATCAGTGACACGAGGGGAAGCATCAGTGGCACGAGGGGAAGCATCAGTGGACACGAGGGAAGCATCAGTGACACGAGGGGAAGCATCAGTGACACGAGGGGAAGCATCAGTGACACGAGGGAAGCATCAGTGACACGAGGGGAAGCATCAGTGGCACGAGGGGAAGCATCAGTGCACGAGGGGAAGCATCAGTGGCACGAGGGGAAGCATCAGTGACACGAGGGGAAGCATCAGTGACACGAGGGGAAGCATCAGTGACACGAGGGGAAGCATCAGTGACACGAGGGGAAGCATCAGTGGCACGAGGGAAGCATCAGTGGCACGAGGGGAAGCATCAGTGACACGAGGGGAAGCATCAGTGGCACGAGGGGAAGCATCAGTGACACGAGGGGAAGCATCAGTGGCACGAGGGGAAGCATCAGTGACACGAGGGGAAGCATCAGTGGCACGAGGGGAAGCATCAGTGACACGAGGGAAGCATCAGTGACACGAGGGGAAGCATCAGTGGCACGAGGGGAAGCATCAGTGGCACGAGGGGAAGCATCAGTGACACGAGGGGAAGCATCAGTGGCACGAGGGGAAGCATCAGTGACACGAGGGGAAGCATCAGTGGCGCGAGGGGAAGCATCAGTGACACGAGGGGAAGCATCAGTGACACGAGGGAAGCATCATGGCACGAGGGGAAGCATCAGTGGCACGAGGGGAAGCATCAGTGGCACGAGGGGAAGCATCAGTGACACGAGGGGAAGCATCAGTGGCACGAGGGGAAGCATCAGTGACACGAGGGGAAGCATCAGTGGCACGAGGGGAAGCATCAACTAGTTCACTACCAAGAATATATTAGTCTAATGGAAAGTAAGTTTGGTATCTAGAGGATGTAAAGTGCCACTAAGACTGAGGATGTAAAGTGCCACTAAGACTGAGGATGTAAAGTGCCACTAAGACTGAGGATGTAAAGTGCCACTAAGACTGGAGATGTAAAGTGCCACTAAGACTGAGGATGTAAAGTGCCCTAAGACTGAGAGATGTAAAGTGCCACTAAGACTGAGGATGTAAAGTGCCACTAAGACTGAGGATGTAAAGTGCCACTAAGACTGAGGATGTAAAGTGCCACTAAGACTGAGGATGTAAAGTGCCACTAAGACTGAGGATGTAAAGTGCCACTAAGACTGAGGATGTAAAGTGCCACTAACACTGGGGATGTAAAGTGCCACTAAGACTGAGGATGTAAAGTGCCACTAAGACTGAGGATGTAAAGTGCCACTAAGACTGAGGATGTAAAGTGCCACTAAGACTGGAGATGTAAAGTGCTACTAAGACTGAGGATGTAAAGTGCCACTAAGACTGAGGATGTAAAGTGCCACTAAGACTGAGGATGTAAAGTGCCACTAAGACTGGAGATGTAAAGTGCCACTAAGACTGAGGATGTAAAGTGCCACTAAGACTGAGGATGTAAAGTGCCACTAAGACTGAGGATGTAAAGTGCCACTAAGACTGGAGATGTAAAGTGCCACTAAGACTGGGGATGTAAAGTGCCACTAAGACGGAGGATGTAAAGTGCCACTAAGACTGAGATGTAAAGTGCCACTAAGACTGAGGATTAAAGTGCACTAAGATTGGAGATGTAAAGTGCCACTAAGACTGGGATGTAAAGTGCCACTAACACTGGGATGTAAAGTGCCACTAAGACTGAGGATGTAAAGTGCCACTAAGACTGGAGATGTAAAGTGCCACTAAGACTGAGGATGTAAAGTGCCACTAAGACTGAGGATGTAAAGTGCCACTAACACTGGGGATGTAAAGTGCCACTAAGACTGGAGATGTAAAGTGCCACTAAGACTGGGGATGTAAAGTGCCACTAACACTGGGGATGTAAAGTGCCACTAAGACTGAGGATGTAAAGTGCCACTAAGACTGGAGATGTAAAGTGCCACTAAGACTGAGGATGTAAAGTGCCACTAAGACTGAGGATGTAAAGTGCCACTAAGACTGAGGATGTAAAGTGCCACTAAGACTGGAGATGTAAAGTGCCACTAAGACTGGGGATGTAAAGTGCCACTAAGACTGAGGATGTAAAGTGCCACTAAGACTGAGGATGTAAAGTGCCACTAAGACTGAGGATGTAAAGTGCCACTAAGACTGGAGATGTAAAGTGCCACTAAGACTGGGGATGTAAAGTGCCACTAACACTGGGGATGTAAAGTGCCACTAAGACTGGGGATGTAAAGTGCCACTAAGACTGAGGATGTAAAGTGCCACTAACACTGGGGATGTAAAGTGCCACTAAGACTGAGGATGTAAAGTGCCACTAAGACTGAGGATGTAAAGTGCCACTAAGACTGGAGATGTAAAGTGCCACTAAGACTGGGGATGTAAAGTGCCACTAACACTGGGGATGTAAAGTGCCACTAAGACTGGGGATGTAAAGTGCCACTAAGACTGAGGATGTAAAGTGCCACTAACACTGGGGATGTAAAGTGCCACTAAGACTGGAGATGTAAAGTGCCACTAAGACTGGGGATGTAAAGTGCCACTAACACTGGGGATGTAAAGTGCCACTAACACTGGGGATGTAAAGTGCCACTAACACTGTGGATGTAAAGTGCCACTAACACTGGGGATGTAAAGTGCCACTAACACTGGGGATGTAAAGTGCCACTAACACTGGGGATGTAAAGTGCCACTAACACTGGGGATGTAAAGTGCCACTAACACTGGGGATGTAAAGTGCCACTAACACTGGGGATGTAAAGTGCCACTAACACTGGAGATGTAAAGTGCCACCAAGACTGGGGATGTAAAGTGCCACCAAGACTGGGGATGTAAAGTGCCACCAAGACTGGGGATGTAAAGTGCCACCAAGACTGGGGATGTAAAGTGCCACCAAGACTGGGATGTAAAGTGCCACCAAGACTGGGGATGTAAAGTGCCACCAAGACTGGGGATGTAAAGTGCCACCAAGACTGGGGATGTAAAGTGCCACCAGACTGGGGATGTAAAGTGCCACCAAGACTGGGGATGTAAAGTGCCACCAAGACTGGGGATGTAAAGTGCCACCAAGACTGGGGATGTAAAGTGCCACCAAGACTGGGGATGTAAAGTGCCACCAAGACTGGGGATGTAAAGTGCCACCAAGACTGGGGATGTAAAGTGCCACCCAGACTGGGGATATAGGGGAGGCAAACAACAGGAAATTTCACAGATGTATGTTAGAGGTGAAGAAATACAGAGTTGATGATACCGGAATAAGAGCCGAGACGAGACAACAATGACTTGTGATGAGTTGTGTCCAGAGGCAAATTTATTCATATAGCAAAATAAGTAAAAATATTTGGAGAATGACTCATTCGATCGTCTTCACACTCTCACCACTGATCTGTTTTTTTTTCCAGTGCATTGGTCCATGCTGTTAATAGGTGTCATAATGAGTCCCAATTAGCCAATTGGATAAGATAGTGATGTTCACCAATATTCAGCATCTAAAGAATGCTCTATTCGATCGGCTTCAGATTATTAATGATACTGGATCTTGGGAGAAGAAGAATGATCCGGTAACTTGACTTCGTGTCGGTGCAAATTTGAAATTTTACTGAAACTGTTGGAGAAACAAATAATGTAGTCGTTGGGATGAGATCTGTTACTTCAGAATGCTCTTGACGACTGGTTTCAAACCTCCTCTGTTGGTAAGCTTTATTAATGGAAAGCTTAGTGCTCACCTTGAGCTTTGTCAACATCCGCTTTGCCAATTCTGTTTTCTCCACCCCTTTCCCCTCCCTTCCCACGTTGAACTCTGGTCCTTCGATTGTGAGCCGTACGTACTAACACTGAGTCACGAGGGAACTTTTCGCTGTGTGTAGAGTGTTTTGCAACTGTATATGACTTGATGAAGCTCCAGGCTGACCGAAATGTTGTCACAATAAGAGCTCTAGGAACATTGTGTGGAAGAGAAGCAGATATTAAGAGAGAGAGAGAGAGAGAGAGAGAGAGAGAGAGAGAGAGATGTGGTTTAAAGGCACATAAACAAACACTAGGACATATTTATTAGAAAACGTTTCGGTCCTGGGACTTTAATCACATCTAGAAGTGATTAAGGTCCCAGGTATCTTTCTAAACCAGTTCGTCGGTACCTATTACTAAGGTTAATACCGGAGACAGTTGTAAATTAGGTACCTTTAATGAAGCCAAGGGTCTGGCTGAGCGCGACGGTGGGATGCCCGCACGAGTCCATGGCCAGAGTGCCCAGCGTGATTCCTGGAAGCAGCTCAGGTGTGGTGTTGATCTCGTCCAGCGTGAAGAGTAGAGCTTCCAGCGCCTGGATCCCGTCGTCATCCTGAGGTGCCGCCACAACCATGGAAGATCAACGTTGTTGTAAGGTTAGACGGTGGGGAGGAGGGGGTGTTCACGCCCCACAATGATGTGTGCACCTGCACTGTGTTGTGGGCACATCCCTTGTGTTGTGTGCGCATCCCCTGTGTTGTGTGCACCTCCCCTGTGTTGTGTGCACCTCTCCTGTGTTGTGTGCACATCCCCTGTGTTGTGTGTATATCCCATGTGTTGAGTGCACATCCTTGTGTTGAGTGCACCTTCCCTGTGTTGTGTGCATCTCTCCTGTGTTGTGTGCACCTCCCTGTGTTATGTGTACCTCTCTTGTGTTGTATGCATTTCCCCTGTGTTGTGTGCACCTCCCCTGTGTTGTGTGCACCTCCCCTTTGTTGTGTTCACCTCCTTGTGTTGTGTGCACATCCCCTGTGTTGTGTGGACCTCCTTGTCTTGTGTGCACCTTCCCTGTGGTGTGTGCATCTCTCCTGTGTTGTGTGCACCTCCGTTGTGTTATGTGCACCTCCCATGTGTTGTGTGCACCTCCTTGTGTTGTGTGTACCTCCCGTGTGTTGTGTGCACCTCTCCTGTGTTGTGTGCACCTCCCCTGTGTTGGGTGCACCACTCCTGTGTTGTGTGCACCTCCCCTGTAGTGTGTGTGCACCTCTCCTGCGTTGTGTGCACCTCCCCTGCGTTGTGTGCACCTTCCCTGTGTTGTGTGCACCTCCCCTGTGTTGTATGCACCTCCCCTGTGTTGTGCGCACCTTCCTTGTGTTGTGTGCACCTCCTTGTGTTGTATGCACGTTCCCTGTGTTGTGTGCTCCTCTCCTGTGTTGTGTGCACCTCCCCTGTGTTGTGTGCACCTCCCCTGTGTTGTGTGCACCTCCCCTTTGTTGTGTTCACCTCCTTGTGTTGTGTGCACATCCCCTGTGTTGTGTGGACCTCCTTGTCTTGTGTGCACCTTCCCTGTGGTGTGTGCATCTCTCCTGTGTTGTGTGCACCTCCGCTGTGTTATGTGCACCTCCCATGTGTTGTGTGCACCTCCTTGTGTTGTGTGTACCTCCCGTGTGTTGTGTGCTCCTCTCCTGTGTTGTGTGCACCTTCCCTGTGTTGTGTGCACCTCTCCTGTGTTGTGTGCACCTCCCCTGTGTTGCGTGAACCTTCCCTGTGTTGTGTGCACCTCCTTGTGTTGTGTGCACCTCCCCTGTGTTGTGTGCACCTTCCTTGCGTTGTGTGCACCTTGTGTTGTGTGCACCTTGTGTTGTGTGCACTTCCCCTGTGTTGTGTGCACCTCTCCTGTGTTGTGTGCACTTCCTCTGTGTTGTGTGCACCTAACCTGTGTTGGATGCACCTCCCCTGTGTTGTGTGCACCTTTCCTGTGTTGTGTGCGCCTCTTCTGTGTTGTGTGCACCTCTCCTGTGTTTTGTGCACCTCTCTCGTGTTGGGTCCACCTCCCCTGTATTGCGTGCATCTCTCCTGTGTTGTGTGTACCTCTCCTATGTTGTGTGCACCTCCCGTGTCCTGTGTGCACCTCTCCTGTGTTGTGTGCACCTCTCTTGTGTTGTGTGCACCTCCCCTGTGTTTTTGCACCTCTCTTGTGTTGTGTGCACCTCCCCTGTGTTTTTGCACCTCTCTTGTGTTGTGTGCACCTCCCCTGTGTTTTTGCACCTCTCTTGTGTTGTGTGCACCTCCCCTGTGTTTTTGCACCTCTCTTGTGTTGTGTGCACCTCCCCTGTGTTTTTGCACCTCTCTTGTGTTGTGTGCACCTCCCCTGTGTTTTTGCACCTCTCTTGTGTTGGGTGGACCTCCCCTGTGTTGTGTGCACCTCTCCTGTGTCATATTAGTAACTAAAATGAAACACATTTCAGCAATTTCTTGGTAAAAGTTTATTATAACATGACAGTGGTGCACCTAGGTGGTGGTAGTTGTGACTCATCATGAGTGTGGTGCACCTAAGTGGTGGTAGTTGTGACTCATCATGAGTGTGGTGCACCTAGGTGGTGGTAGTTGTGACTCACCATGAGTGTGGTGCACCTAGGTGGTGGTAGTTGTGACTCACCATGAGTGTGGTGCACCTAGGTGGTGGTAGTTGTGACTCACCATGAGTGTGGTGCACCTAGGTGGTGGTAGTTGTGACTCACCATGAGTGTGGTGCACCTAGGTGGTGTAGTTGTGACTCACCATGAGTGTGGTGCACCTAGGTGGTGGTAGTTGTGACTCATCATGAGTGTGGTGCACCTAGGTGGTGGTAGTTGTGACTCATCATGAGTGTGGTGCACCTAGGTGGTGGTAGTTGTGACTCACCATGAGTGTGGTGCACCTAGGTGGTGGTAGTTGTGACTCATCATGAGTGTAGTGCACCTAGGTGGTGGTAGTTGTGACTCATCATGAGTGTGGTGCACCTAGGTGGTGGTAGTTGTGACTCACCATGAGTGTGGTGCACCTAGGTGGTGGTAGTTGTGACTCATCATGAGTGTGGTGCACCTAGGTGGTGGTAGTTGTGACTCACCATGAGTGTGGTGCACCTAGGTGGTGGTAGCTGTGACTCACCATGAGTGTGGTGCACCTAGGTGGTGGTAGCTGTGACTCACCATGAGTGTGGTGCACCTAGGTGGTGGTAGTTGTGACTCACCATGAGTGTGGTGCACCTAGGTGGTGGTAGTTGTGACTCACCATGAGTGTAGTGCACCTAGGTGGTGGTAGTTGTGACTCATCATGAGTGTGGTGCACCTAGGTGGTGGTAGTTGTGACTCACCATGAGTGTGGTGCACCTAGGTGGTGGTAGTTGTGACTCATCATGAGTGTGGTGCACCTAGGTGGTGGTAGTTGTGACTGACCATGAGTGTGGTGCACCTAGGTGGTGGTAGCTGTGACTCACCATGAGTGTGGTGCACCTAGGTGGTGGTAGCTGTGACTCACCATGAGTGTGGTGCACCTAGGTGGTGGTAGTTGTGACTCACCATGAGTGTGGTGCACCTAGGTGGTGGTAGTTGTGACTCACCATGAGTGTGGTGCACCTAGGTGGTGGTAGTTGTGACTCACCATGAGTGTAGTGCACCTAGGTGGTGGTAGTTGTGACTCACCATGAGTGTGGTGCACCTAGGTGGTGGTAGTTGTGACTCACCATGAGTGTAGTGCATCTAGGTGGTGGTAGTTGTGACTCACCATGAGTGTGGTGCACCAAGGTGGTGGTAGTTGTGACTCACCATGAGTGTGGTGCACCTAGGTGGTGGTAGTTGTAACTCACCATGAGTGTGGTGCACCTAGGTGGTGGTAGTTGTGACTCATCATGAGTGTGGTTGCACCTAGGTGGTGGTAGTTGTGACTCACCATGAGTGTGGTGCACCTAGGTGGTGGTAGTTGTGACTCACCATTAGTGTGGTGCACCTAGGTGGTGGTAGTTGTGACTCACCATGAGTGTAGTGCACATAGGTGGTGGTAGTTGTGACTCACCATGAGTGTGGTGCACCTAGGTGGTGGTAGTTGTGACTCACCATGAGTGTGGTGCACCTAGGTGGTGGTAGTTGTGACTCACCATTAGTGTGGTGCACCTAGGTGGTGGTAGTTGTGACTCACCATGAGTGTGGTGCACCTAGGTGGTGGTAGTTGTGACTCACCATGAGTGTGGTGCACCTAGGTGGTGGTAGTTGTGACTCACCATGAGTGTGGTGCACCTAGGTGGTGGTAGTTGTGACTCACCATGAGTGTAGTGCACATAGGTGGTGGTAGTTGTGACTCACCATGAGTGTGGTGCACCTAGGGGTGGTAGTCGTATCCTTGGTGCTGGGGTGTATAGGGAAGAGTGCACCCAGGAGCACCGTAGCGTTCCCAGGGTACACCATGGACACTTCGATGGTGGTGTTAGGGGAGGTGGGAGTGTTTTCCCCACCCACGCCCTCCACCACGGCCCATCCCACGCCCACCGTCACCACCACCACCGCCGCCCTCAGCATCACGCCCACATCCACCTCCATCAGAAAAAAAGAGAATGTTATTATTTGGATTATCTTATTTTCTGTGTCGTATTCATCAACAATATTTTTGTAATGTTAAGTGTTAGGTTAATTTAGTTTAGGTTAGGTTAAGTCGGGTTAGGTTAGGTTAGGTTAGGTTAGGTTAGGTTAGGTTAGGTTAGGTTAGGTTAGGTTAGGTTAGGTTAGGTTAGGTTAGGTTTGGTTAGGTTAGGTTAGGTTAGGTTAGTGTAGGTTAGGTTAGGTTAGGTTTGGTTAGGTTAGGTTAGGTTAGGTTAGGTTAGGTTAGGTTTGGTTAGGTTAGGTTAGGTTAGGTTAGGTTAGTGTAGGTTAGGTTAGGTTAGGTTAGGTTAGGTTAGGTTAGGTTAGGTTAGTGTAGGTTAGGTTAGGTCAGGTTAGGTTAGGTTAGTGTTGGTTAGTAGACGAGGGCATAGTCACTGGTAGGCGGGATTCCCCAGTGGAAGTAGGTCCTACCCAAAGAGATGTGTTAGTTGTAGTAGTAGTTGTCGTAGTCGTAAAGGTTATGTACTAGAACTGCAGACACATTCATCACCTTCAAAACTACCATTAGAAAACATCTTATCTCCCTGATACACCCCGTCAACTAACTACACGAATACCACCTGGTGGTTCACACTTACACTCACTCACTCATTTGACCATAAACAGAAATATTAATCTCAATCTTAAAATAATGAATCCTATGATACTCCAGTACTGAAACTATGTACTGTGCCAAAACAAAAGCATTCACATTGCTAAACTCACAAACTAGTATTTAGTCACTTAGCCATAATACCAACTTACCTCATAATTTGTAATATTTTAAAATAAAGAATTAAACTAAGTCTGCCCGAAATGCCTAGCCATGCTAGGCGTTCTAGTGGTACACTCTGTAATCATTATTTAACTACATGTAAACCACACAACAACCAAATTCTGTGAATTCAACATTGTAATCTTTATAGAGAATAAACTTTGAATTTGAATTTGAATTTGAATTTGTCCTCAGAATCAAGATTCCATGATGTTGCAGTGTCTGACAAGTTGTACAAGAGTGGTATACAATACCGACATGTGTCTTAATTTCATCTTGTTGGTATTGTGCAACTTACACAACTTGTCAGACACTGCAACATCATGGAATCTTGGTTCTGAGGACATGTACATAACCTTTACGACTACGACAACTACTACTACAACTAACCCATCTCTTTGGGTAGGACCTACTTCCACTGGGGAATCCCGCCTACCAGTGACTATGCCCTCGTCTACTACACGTCCCCTTTGCACCTGACGTTAGTATATAAGCGCCAGGCTCCTTGCCTCTACTCCAGAACCTCCACGACTACGGTGCTCTTCGCACCAACTCCAAGGTTGAGGGACTGATTACTTCATCTTCTCTACATAGTTTTACTGTCTTCAAGTTATGTCCTGGAATTTGTATTGATAAAGCCACTGGATGGCGAAACGTCTACAATAAAAATACCCAGATGTTGCACATGTCTTAATTTCTGGGTTTTTTTTTTTTTGTGTCCTCTTGTGTAAAAGTACAGGCAGAAGCTGAGTGTTTAAAGATAGTGCACCCTTGTGTGTGACTATCTGTGTGACTATCTGTGTGACCATCTGTGTGACTGTGTGACTATTTGTGTAAATACCTGTGAGCTGACTAGTTACATAATTAGTGACAGGTTATTTCCTCTAATTGTCTCCCTCATAAATTGTTCAGTTTTACCCGACAATGTTGAACTGTTTGAAGAAAGTTGATCGACTCTCACATTTCCTGTCCCATTCAATTTAGCTAGAGGTAAAATCCTTCAATTACACTTCCTTTTCGCATCTAGATACATACTCCATGATTGCACGGGCTGGGCAGACTGGATGGGAGGCCATACTAGACGTCATTAACAAGTCGTGGAGGGCCAGGACACTCCCAGCAGCTTGGAAGAAAGCTACCATCGTACCAATTCCAAAGCCCAAGGACCCAGGCAGTATGAGACCCATATCGCTGACCAGCTGCTTAGCCAAGACTGCTGAGAGGATGGTGTTAAACCGCCTCCTTTGGAAACTTGGACCCTCTCATCATCACATATTTGGCTTCACCAAAGGAGTGGGTACAGCAGAGTGCATAACCACTCTACTAAGCCAGATTGCTGATAGTAACAAAAAACCTAGTATTGTCGTCTACCTCGACCTTGAAAAGGCATTTGAGCTAGCCAGCCCCACAGCAATTCTGGCAATACTAGCTCGGAAGGGAATCAAAGGACGCCTCCTGGCCTGGATAGAGTCCTACCTTAGGGGCAGGGAGGTCTGTGTCAGCTTTCAGGGACACTACTCTTCCTTTAAACCCCTGGAAAACGGTACGCCACAAGGGGTGTGCTCAGTCCTCCCTTTTTTAAACTCCTTATGCGGGAAAATTTTGAGCCTTCCCCTTTCATGTGGTACCAGCTCCTCAGCTATGTGATGATCTTGCACTCGTAGTGAATGGAAAGGCAATTTAAAAAGACAGGCTCAGAGAGTTTTTGGCCCTAATTACGCAGTCTTGAAAGGGAAAATAGGCCTAAAGTCTGGGCCGAAAAATCTCTTGCAATGATGTTCAGGGACCAGATCGTGAATAGATTACGTATTAGGATTAGAAATTGAGGGACAGGCTCCTACCTGTATTGGGGAATCTACATTGATAAAAAGCTGCCTTTTAGAAACGGGCGAGTATGTCAGGTCACGGCTTACTCGACTCAACCCCATGAGACCCATGACAGGCACCGTGCAGGGGAAGCAAAGATGTACTTCGCTTGTACATATACAAGCTATACGCTGTCATTGACTACGGTGCACCGGCGTTAGTCATCTTTTCCCCGCGGAGCGGGCATGGGGTGGAGGTCGTAAAAAATCGGGCGATAAAAAATTTTTGCTTGGGGCCCCATCTGGACCAACACGTATGCCCCAGATCTGGGGCCCCGGTTCCCTTTCCTTGGCTGACAGATAAGATACTAAACCCCTGGAAAGTGGCCACGTTTCTGCCCCGGCAGAAACGTACCCACAAAGGAGATGGATATTAACAACCATGGCACAAGACCCACACTCTTCACGGACTACTCGGGATTCGTTCGTTTTTGTCTGCTGGGCGGAAGCTGGCTGCCTATACAAATACTCCTTGAGAAGAGTTGTGACCTTCCTTTGCTGGGTATCATCCACCCCCCCTGGCACCAGTCCCCGCCCATGTTTGCATCTGCAGTACCCTCTTAAGCGCTCTGCAGTCAAGGGCCCCTCAGCAATCATGCTGAGACAAGCATGGGTGGCGAGGGAGGCCATGTGCGTGTATTTCACAGTGGTTCGTCGACCCTGACAGGAAGAGAGGGGGCAGTGGACTGTCCACAATGGTCAACACAAGGCTGGCGATCCCGACCCCTGACGATCCTTCAAGCTGAGCTGGTGGCGATTAGCAGCATTGTCACATGCCCCACACATCGACTCCCACCTGTATACATGTTGATTCCACCTCTGAAACCCCCCCTTCCCTCCTCAACCCCGGCCCAAAGTTACCTATCACATCGACCTAGCTAATGAAGCCTTAAAGTTCAGGGTAACAGATCGACTTGAACTGGATCTCCAGCCCCTGCTGGCATCCGGGGGAAAAGAGGCGGCAGATGAGACCAAGGCAGCAAAAGATATCCACATGTTGGGGTTACTGTCCCAAAAGCCTACGACAGACCAAACGGTGGCTGCCAAGCCCGAAATTTTGGGGGAGGTCTAGGGGGAACCCATCTCAACAGTGGTACCCACGCGACTCAGGGAGAAACCCAATATGATGAATGGTCCCAGAGCGCAGTGTACCCCATCCATTGGTTCGTTTGGGCTTTCCCCCAGCCAAGATGATGGGGAGACAAGGTGAGGAGGAGATGTGCCAGCACTGTGCACGTTGTTCAGCGGCCCCCAACACCTATCTTTGGAGTGCGAAGTTACTGAGAACTCCGCAGGGAACTAGGAGTGTATTCCCTCCCGAAGGGACCCAGAGATGTACGGCCACACTAGTGTACCCCGGAGTCAACGAACCAGACAAGTGTTACCCGTGATAAAAGAAAATCCTCCTCCTCGCTAGTGTCCATAGATAGGAGTACATATGGTGTTGTCGCTTATGAGATGCACCAGTTGAACTGACCAGAAGAGTGCTTGAACAGCATACGTCGCATCATTGTAGAAACCTTTCTCCCTCGGGAACCAGAGACGGGTCATCGCAAGATTGAGACCCGTGCCAGGACTACGGTCTTGGCGAACATTATACATACACACATGCCGCTACTCCAGAACCTCCACGACTATGGTGCTCTTCGCACCAACTCCAAGGTTGAGGGACTGATTACTTCATCTTCTGTACATAGTTTTACTGTCTTCAAGTTATGTTCTGGAATTTGTATTGATAAAGCCACTGGATGGCGAAACGTCTACAATAAAAATACCCAGATGTTGCACATGTCTTAATTTCTGGGATTTTTTTTTTTGTGTCCTCTTGTGTAAAAGTACAGGCAGAAGCTGAGTGTTTAAAGATAGTGCACCCTTGTGTGTGACTATCTGTGTGACTATCTGTGTGACCATCTGTGTGACTGTGTGACTATTTGTGTAAATACCTGTGAGCTGACTAGTTACATAATTAGTGACAGGTTATTTCCTCTAATTGTCTCCCTCATAAATTGTTCAGTTTTACCCGACAATGTTGAACTGTTTGAAGAAAGTTGATCGACTCTCACATTTCCTGTCCCATTCAATTTAGCTAGAGGTAAAATCCTTCAATTACACTTCCTTTTCGCATCTAGATGCCTTAGCAGATTCCTTCCTCAGAAGTTTACTCTGGTCACTGTCTGGGTTAGACATGTACACCGTCCCCAGGACTAGTGTCTCACACTCTGGTCACTGTCTGGGTTAGACCTACACACCGTCCCCAGGACTAGTGTCTCACACTCTGGTCACTGTCTGGGTTAGACCTACACACCGTCCCCA